ATTAAAGCTTGCAGTATTTCCTTTCAGAACCAGTTGAAATTCTGGAGAGAGATTTCAGGAAGAAACGACATGCTGATCAGAATGAGGTTTCCGAGCCTCTTCCACGGATCCCAAATCCCATCGCATGTCTGTCCCCAAATGATATGCTCATCTTTCAGCTCACCATCAACCACACCGGTATGGCTTTGTCAAATACAGCACTAATAATAAAAGATACCTAGTGTATGGTATGCATGTTTCATGTCATTCTGTGAATTTAGACCGCCACTACAGTCACTTCCCAGTGTACCAGAAGGATCACCTGTTCAGCAGTAACCCTGACTGGGATTTTGGGGCATTTAGACGTCTGCAGCATCTTGTCAAACACACACAGCTAAATTCCAGCAGGTAAGACTAGATGGGTATATCACATGTAGCTTTCAAAACAGATATGCATCTGATTTATCTTATTAGATTTGCGCATGTGTTCATGGAGCCGGGAAAGTATGTGTTCCTGGATAACGCAGTGCCGGACTGGAGTCTGATAGTGGTCGTGAGTGAACAGGGCTCGGAGTGCAATCCCACAACGGCTGCGTTCCAGCCGACGACCCCTGCACAGCTTGTGCGACACGGGATTGTTAAACAACACAGCTTAAACCTGCTTCCAGACTGGGGGCTCATCACAGGTGAGTCAACAATAAAACTGGGGTGCTTTGACATAGAAAGTGGCATTTTTCTTGCTAACAGGAATGCTTTACATGCTGTGCTTGGTGTTTCTCCATAGGGATCTCGTCTCTGTTGGTGTTGCTGATAATAGTGTTGACAGCCTCTGCTCTTGTCTTGAGGCCTAATCGGTCCAACCTCATCGCTCAAGGGAGGCCAAAGCCCAAGTGGCGCAGCTTGGGTGTACCCAGTGTTCCTATTGAATATGTTTATAATACAGAAAGGTAAGTCAGCTGCTTGTTGCTGAGGTTTCATGATGTTTGACAAAGGGATATTCACAAGTAGTTTGGGACAAGAATACTAGGGATGCACTGATATTACAATTTTGACATCTTAGCCAATATATATGCCAATTTATTTATTTTTTCCGTGTAATGGCTGATAATTGATAAATTATTATTATTCTAAAATCAAATGAAAATTAAAGGCAGAGTAAGTGATTTTTCAAAGACACTTTAGAAAACTGATTCGGGCCGAATCGCAAAACAAACTTGTAGCCAATCAGCAATAAGGGGCGTGTCTACTCGTGATGTGGCGGAGAGAGCTTTCAGTGCATGGGACGGACATTAGCAAGCCGAGTGACAGAAAGATAGAGATGGCGGATAAAAAACTAAAGAGGAAAACGTCTGCGGAAGGATAAGGCAAGAAGTAGGACCCGTGTAAATATCGGATCAGCTTTCCAGCGCTGGAGAGAACTCAAGGAGCGGAGGCCTGCGATCGGACGCCGAGGTTGCTTTGTTTCTTCTCAATAGGTGAGTAACACTGTGTCTACAACAGCTAAAGTCTGCCTACACTGGACGCGATCAAACGACCGTTGAAAACCATTTGAAATGTGTGTCAGCACGTCATAAATAGAACCTGGCAGCAGTTTTCTGTCGGGGATTTGTTGTGCCGCGCCGCTCACGTCCGTAGACATGGTGTAACATTGGTTTTGCTTTGTTTCACAAAACTAATCGTTGCCTGGGTTGCGTACGTATATGTGGGGCGGAGCTATCAAAATAGGGGCAAGACCCTTTTGGGGTAGGTGCGTGTTTGTTTTGGTGATTTCAAATATCAACATTGGCTACCAGAAATCACTTACTCTGCCTTTAATTGCTTTAAAGGATACACATAAATTTAGGCATCACAGCATTATAATGTATACAGTAGTATCAAACATAGACATTAATTTTGAGATTTGCCAAAGATTACATTTAACAGTGTTATTGAATTATTTATGTTACTAATATTAATGTTATGAGTGTCAGATAATGGCAACAGTATTGTCAAAATGTGAGAAACAAGCATGTACAATCAAATATTGACCAGTATACACTATATTTGGGGTAAGTAAGATTTTGTTTTTGTTTTTGAAAGAAGTCTCCTATGCTCACCAAGAATGCATTTGTTTGATACAAAAATACAATAAAATCAGTAATATTGTGAAATATTATTAGTTTTTATGCTCACCAAGGATGCATGTGTTTGATCAAAAATACAAAATCAGTAATATTGTGAAATATTATTACAGTTTTTATGCTCCCCAAGGATGCATGTGTTTGATCAAAAATACAATAAAATCAGTAATATTGTGAAATATTATTACAGTTTTTATGCTCCCCAAGGATGCATGTGTTTGATCAAAAATACAATAAAATCAGTAATATTGTGAAATATTATTACAGTTTTTATGCTCCCCAAGGATGCATGTGTTTGATCAAAAATACAATAAAATCAGTAATATTGTGAAATATTATTACAGTTTTTATGCTCCCCAAGGATGCATGTGTTTGATCAAAAATACAATAAAATCAGTAATATTGTGAAATATTATTACAGTTTTTATGCTCCCCAAGGATGCATGTGTTTGATCAAAAATACAATAAAATCAGTAATATTGTGAAATATTATTACAGTTTTTATGCTCCCCAAGGATGCATGTGTTTGATCAAAAATACAATAAAATCAGTAATATTGTGAAATATTATTACAGTTTTTATGCTCACCAAGGATGCACGTTTGATCAAAAATACAATAAAATCTGTAATATTGTGAAATATTATTACAGTTTTTATGCTCCCCAAGGATGCATGTGTTTGATCAAAAATACAATAAAATCAGTAATATTGTGAAATATTATTAAAAATTTTATGCTCACCAAGGATGCATTTGTTTGATCAAAAATACAATAAAATCAGTAATATTGTGAAATATTATTACAATTTAAAATAATAATTTTCTATTATAATACATTTTAAAACGTAATTTATTTTTGTGATGATAAAGCTTAATTTTCAGCATCATTACTCCAGTCTTCAGTGTCACATGATCCTTCAGAAATCATTCTGATATGCTAATTTGGTCTTCAAGAAACATTTCTTACTATAAATGTTGAAAACAGTTGATATCTTCTTAGAAACCTTGTTACATTAGCAGATCTCAAAATGAAAAGCTATTTTTCATATTGCACATTATTATGCTGTGATGCCTAAATTCACTTGTAGCATGTAAAGCAATCAATAGCACATGGTTTTGAGTGTGCTTTGTATTGTGTTGTAGTGTGGACGGCTCTGAGCCACTAGGTCTGAGAGGGGTGGGAGAGGGAGCAGAATCAGAGGAACCTGCTGTTTGCAAAGGAGGTAACTGACAATCATCTGAAATGCCTGACAACGGATAAATATACAAAAACTCTTCTGAATTCTGTCGAATCCCATAAGGTTTCAGAACTACGCTAATGGAGCTGGAGGAGTTTAATGTGAAAACTCTGTATGACAAGTTAGAGGATCAGAATTTACATCTGGCATCCCAGCTGGCAAAGCACCGCAAAGACACACAGGAGTTTTACAGGAACATGTGCAGCAAATTGATGCTCTGAGGATAAGACAGAAACAGGAAGTCAACTGAAGATAAGAAATGCATCAAAAATGGAAATAATAACATGATCAATCTCTGTAACTAATCAGTTTGTACATCTGGTATTTAGGACACACTAGAAAATATGGAACCCTCAAAACTGAACCAGCTGAAAAAAATACTAGACAATGAAGTTCTGATGAAAGGAGAAACTGCTCATGGTGAGACAGAAGTTTGCTATAACTCGAGCCATACATGTGTGTATCAGTCTTAAACAGTCACAGGTCTGTGAAAGTATTTGTGTTTGCACCAGAGCTGTGGATGGGGCTGATGGAGGCCATGCTGAGATCTTTGGAGGGAGTGCTGTGCAGGATGAATGGGGAGGTCTGGCAGCAACAGGACAGCACAGCAACAAACAGCCACAGAGACACTCGAGAGAGTGAACTTCACACCGGATACACTCAGGTTACTTATTTCAGTCCATTAAAACAACACAGAGCCATGGATTACCAATGAATGCACATAATAGTGATATTAAAAGAATAATTCAGTAAAAACTAAAATTTTGTCATTATTTATACTCTCTTGTAAGTATACAGGATGTCATTCTTTAAATGTGAGACATGTTTCAAAATGGATCTATTATCCTTTTTTGATCAGATCATATTATATCTTTAATCATAAAAGTGGTCCATTGGTGTAACGTTTGATTTGTTCTTTTGGGCTGTGTTGTTAGTGTGAACTAAAACCATTCAAAATTATTTTTGTTTATTAAAATAATGTTGAAATAAAACAAAATGTAAATATTAGAATAAAAAAAACTAACTTGAGCAAAAATGTGGGTAACACTTTACAATAAGGTTTGATTTGTTAACATTAACTATATTAGTTAACATGAACAATAATTATATAGCATTTATTAATGTTAGTTAATATTAAGTTCAAACTTACTAATACATTATTCAATCTGTTAACATTAGTTAATGTACTGTGAGTTAACATGAACATTTTTATTAACTAACATTGACAAAGATTAATACATTTTGAAATGTTGCCTACATTTCAACACTAAATGAAAAAATAAGTTCAAGCTGAAGTAGCACAATTACTAAAACTAAAATAAAAATAAATCTAAAAAAAATCTTAATCCAATAGAAATAACAAAAACGTATAACAAAATCACTAAAATAAAATAAAAACTACAATAGTATATAAATAATACTAAAATAGCACTGCTTTTTAACACCTCTTTTCAGTGAATCGGTTCAAACACAACCAATCTGAAATGATTCATTCACAAATCATACACAGAATCTAATATAGATGCATCAGTTTACAGCTTTTGTGTTCCACGGGGGAATAAAAATCAAACCTGTTTGATTGAGTACATAATGACATCATTTTTATTTTGGCTGAACTATCCCATTAAGTATTTCTGTATCATTTTACAGTTTTCTCCTGCAGACATGTCCGAGTTTAAAGTGGGTGCAGATACAGAGGCAGCTTCCTCAGATCCAGGTTCGACCTTGATAAAAACCAAAGACTTGATTTGCAGTCTTTGACCCAGGGCTACTGCTGTGCTCACAGTACATGCTCTCATCTGTCAGGTCAACAGCAGAGCACCATCCCCTGCGTGAGTGAAGAGGAACTGGCCAAGTTTGTGTCTCTGACGCCTCTGTCCAAAACACTGCAGGAAATAAAGGAATCGCTCCAGACTCTCGCCCACACGTCCGAGACAGAGGACGGTCGGTACACATTTATGCATTTGGATTCAGTGAGCTAAAGTAGAAATGCACTTTTAAATTAATTAATTAAAAATATAATATAAAATTGTATTTATTTATTTAAAATATATTTTATTTATCTATTGTATCTGTTTTGTGTGTCATGTAAGGTCTTCTAGTCGTTTCAGAGTTTTGTAATGACCTACATCTGCTTTCTTCTTCTTCAGTAATTATCAGCCCAGCAGAGGGTGAACCATCGCACCTGATCCCTGTTGCCCTTGACAGCCTTTCCCCACAGCATTTCGCTGTCTTCCTGTTTGGCTGCCATGTTGTGCGTTTACTGAGCAGAGCTTGTTCCTTCCCCCCTGTCGTGCTGCTATTGGCCAGGACAGTGCCAGTCTCTCACTGTGATAACCTGCTGGCCTTCTGCCATAAAGACTTTTATTACGACACAGCCAATCAAATTCTGTACATCCTAGAGAAGAAGCTTCAAAATGCTGGCCAGTTCATCTCCATTCTCTTACACTCAATGGCCTATATCACCTCAGGTAAGAAAGATTGCCCTAGTCTTCGCTACATAGTTGTTTTCGATGTCTACAGATTTCTTTTACCTTCATTTAACAAGGCAAGTCACGTAAGGACAAAATTTGTTTGAAAGAAATATCTTATGCTCAGAAGGCTGCTTTTATTTATCAAAGATACAGTAAAAACAGTAATATTTTGAAATATTATTACAATTTAAAACAACTTTTTTCTATTTTAATATATTTTAGAATGTAATTTATTCATATGGTGGCTGAATTTATTTGAAATAGATTTTCTTTTACCAAGTAAAAGACTTTACTGTCACTTTTGATCAATTTAATGCATCCTTGCTGACTAACCACCGGTTTCACAAACAAAGCTTAGGCCTAATCCCAGAATAAATGTAAGTCTGAGCTGTTTCAACTGAAAGAAACTTGCACTAACTGATCTTAAAATATGTCAGTGCATTTGTTTTATCTCAAGATGCACACCAGTATTGTTTTTTTCTAAGGCATGTTTATAAAAACTACTTAAATGTCCTAATTGAACTAAGGCCTGGTTTCACGGACAGGGCTTAGGTTAAGCCAGGATTAGGCAATAAAGTATTAATTTATAAAAATAAAAAAAAACCTTACTGACTTTTAAACAGTAGTGTACAATACATAAAAGATACTAATACACAAAATAAGACAATTAAAACATATATAAAATATATCTAAAATGCTTGTTTTTAGTTCTATAAAAGCTTTGATAAAGAGGTAAGTATCATCTTTCAGTAACATCTGCAAAGTTCTCCAAACATAAAAAGCATTAAACCTTTTTCTTTTGGCATTTCTATTTTTTTACAGGCTCAAAATCTCTCGAATTCATAAAAGCCTTCCACTTGGCCATTTCAGCACTAAGCATGCAGTTGTTTCATCACTCTTTCACTGAGGATCAGAGGAAAGGAAAGGTAAGACACGTGTTTGAAATATATACAGTATAAAATTCAGAAAGAGCTAAAACAGACTTTTGCTCACATGTTAGATGGATGAGGAAAACACACCAGAGGCCTTTGGGACATTAGTAGAGGACTTCTTCAGTGTAAAAATACCTACTGAAACGCATTTCACTGAACACCTGCTGGCAGAGAGGTTAGGATCCAATCTAAGGTGAGTTTTGACATTAAGAATATATTAAAACATTAAAAACATTCACTTTAATTGATTTTAGACTTCAAGTATATAAATACTTCAAGTTGGAACAGCTCCTCCAAGAACTAAATCCAACTCTAAAAGACAGACATGGAGATGGTGAGAGATTTTGAGAGCGATTTTTGAAAGAAAACATTCTTAGCCTTGCAAACACCTGAACACTGGTACAATTTTGGGTCTTTTGTGCACAGGACGAGGGCAAACTGGCCTAAAAACGCAAGTCCCAGTGAGTGAAAGCACTTTTTGCATGTTATGTTTTATTTATTCTGAAGAGTGTACATCTATGGAAATATCTCCTGTTTTTTTTATCAACCTGTGCTTCAGGTACTGTGTATGGAAAGAGAAATAAACAGACTTGATGAAGTTTACCAGCAGCTCTCCTCTGAACTCTACAGGGCAACACACAGCCTACCGGAGAAGAAAGAGCCCAGGTTTGACAAACCGCTTCAGGTAACAGTCAGTCTGACTCACCTCATGGAGACCCCTTTACAGCCCCCACTATATTTGCAAGAGGAATGAATTCACATTGTAAAATGTATTTCTCACCCCTTCTGTCTGTGTCTCTGATGCTCCCCACACTTTCAGGAGCAGCAGGTGATGCTGGAGCTGCAGAAGTGTACGGTGGATCAGAGACTGAAGGCGATGAGAGACAGACTTTCTAAACTGAGCTCAAGCCAGCGAGCGAGTCCTAATGAAAACACACCTGCTCACGGCACAGTCCTGGCTCAGGAAGACAGCCAGACTCCCAGCAAATGCAAACCAGACAGTGGAGGAGCAGAGAAACAGACACCTGCTGCAGGACAGTCCAGCAACAAGAAGAAGCAGAGCAAGCATATGGACAAAGATGAGGAAAAGGGTGTGACTGCGTGAGGAACAATGTTTGAAAATGGTGATTATTCTAAAAAGAATCTGTTTCTTGTCTTTACACCGTTTTATTCTTACAGATCTTACAAATTACAATCATTATTTTATCCATTCATAATGACTGTGAAACTTGTGTGGCACAGTCACAGCCAGTCAGAAGATATTTAATGTTTAATGTACAGTTATGATGAGCAGGGCAAGACGAAATAGAAACAGAAACCAAAATGTCCTTTCAGTTGTCACTTGTAGATGTCATTGCTATTTATGACAAAACTCACATGGAGGAGATGGATTTAACATTTAACACCCCTGGTTTAGAAGCAGTGTTATGCTAAACAACTTAGCAAATGTAGTCACAACCTTAAAACTGTGAATCTTTATGGTTTATTTTCATCAATGTATGCATATATGTACACTACTGGGTTGGTAAGATTTTTAAAAATGTTTTTGAAAGTCTCTAAAGGATGCATTTATTTGATCAAAAAAATTGGTAAAACAATAATGTGAAATATTATTACAATTTAAAATACTGTTTTCTATTTGAATATATTTTAAAATGTAATTCCAGTCTTCAGTGTCACATGATCCTTCAGAAATCATTCTAATATCAAGAGACATTTCTTATAATCAGTGTTGAAAACAGTTGTGCTGCTTATTATTTTTGTGGAAACCGAGATACATTTTTGTTCAGGATTCTAAAACGAACATACAGTTCAAGAGAACAGCATTTATTTGAAATAGAAGTCTTTTGTATTATAAATGTCTTTACTGTCACTTTTGATCAGTTTAATGCATCATTGCTGAATGAAAGTATTAATTTTTTTTTTTTTTTTATCTTACTGACCTCAAACTTTTGAATGTTAATGTGTTTTTTTATTAATTATCATTCATTTGAACATGATTTAAAATTTATAAATTTATAAAAACAAATCAAAGATATAAAAAACATCATCATAAAAGTGTCATTTCTTATGTCAATACAAGAATGAGGGAAAACGTTACTAATTAAACATGCTATGCACTTCTGAGCCGTATTATGTGTGGCATGTTTTATCTGGGATTTTCCAGTCAATAATCTAACAGTTCATGCACGCTCATGCTCAGAGCCGGGCTAAACTCTTTTCCTCTAGGGGGAACAGACTTTGAACAGATTGGGAGGGAGGGGGAGCGGTAGCTGTCATCAGCCGCTATCAGTGTTACAACTCTCTGTCCTTGAGCTGATACGCTCAAGAAAGTTCCATTGGCTGTGTGCCGTCTGACTTTATCGCTTTAGATTAAATGAACAGTGCATCCACGCAGCATCCAGGGCGGACTTTCCACTTAACATACCTGTCAGACTCCGCGATCTGCTGCTGAAGTAGATGCAGTGTTTGCAAGGCCCTCATACAGAATAATACTCTCACATTCAGACTGTATTGTAGATGTTTAGATTTTTTTCCTAGATGTGCCATTCATTTTTAATGCCTATGGACTAGGGATGTAACAGTATGTGACCAAAGTGACCAAAGTTATCACGATTATCAATATTATCACGGTTTTGTTCAAATTAGATGAAAACGTTCAAAAAGAACTGATACACACACTGAAAACATTTCAATAAG